CCAGCCCCCCTGGGCAGCCCCTGCGCCGGAGAGGAACGCCCTGCGCCGGAGAGGAACGCCCTGCGCCGGAGGCTCTCACGTGCCGTGCTTCAACAGCGGCGTGCCAAGCCGGGTGACTAACTCTCGCATGTCAGGCTGCGCGTACACCCCGCTCTCGTGAGCCACGCTTTCCTTGGGTGCAAACTTCACTTGTCAGCAAGAACAGAGGACGAGGCAGCTCACAGGAGCGCGGGTTAACTTGGGAAGAGCTACACAGTGCTGAGAGCTGAACAGGTAAAACAGTGAAGCATATAAACAGAGCACAGGAGAGCAAAGGTGATTAATTATCAGAACATGAACCAGCACAAGGATACAGCGGTAGAAACAGAGTAAGCTATTCAAAGGAATAAAAAACCCCCAAACTTACGCTGGCTTTGAGGAGGGATGGTGGCTGGTAGGCATGCACCTCTCCCCTCCTGCAGCAGCTATGTGGGTGCATGCTCTCACCAGCTCATTTGTGCTGACAGCCTGTTGCCAGAAAGAAAATCTCTTTGGTACTTCGAAGGATCCAAATAGCAGGAGGACAGCATTGGGAGCACAGCGATCTGCGAGTTGCCTGGCCCAGAGTCAACAGCACTGCTGGAGAATTACCCGCACATTTTCAGAAAGGGGTACAGGGTGTTTCCTACTGGAAAACTGCAATAAGAATACAGAATCTGAGAATGGGTGAGGCTGGAAGGGACCCCTGGAGGTCACCTTGTCCAAAGCTCTGCTCAAGCAGGGGCGCCTGGAGCCAGCTGCCCAGGAACACGTCCAGAGGGCAAAGCTTACTGCATTTTTCCCTATGAAAATTAGGTATCATGGAAGAAAAATGAATTATTTAATCTGCAAACTGACAAAGTTACACTGGATGCTCAATGTATATAGCATTTTATTGAATGAAGGTATATTACAATAGACAAACATATATTACACATGCTATACAAAATATACATTCTTATGTGAAAAAAATATAAATAGACACTAGGAAATAGCAACAGGGAACAAGAGCAGCTTTGCTCACAGTGTCTTATGAACCCCCAGTTCCTATACTGTTAGTACTTTGGCATTGATTGAAGAAACTGTCGGTGTTCACTGAAAATGGAACGGCCACCCTGCCCTCTCTGCACCTCCTGGAGGAACGGGGGAAGAAGAGACACCTGATTTTTTCTGCAAGTCTGCCTAGGAGGCTTTTCCACAACGCTAAGCACAGCAAGGTGTTCACCTGCGTACAAGCTTCAGCTATTTACAGCCAGCTTATGGACTTTATAGAGATACCATTGCTCATGGAAGGATGCAAATGTCCTGATTCATAATGGCAGCTTTTATAGGTCGATATCTCACAGAAATGGCTTCAAGAGCTAGCATTTCAGTTTGTTCTGGTGCAGACAGCATTAAAGCCTTCGTCACCTTACCTACCTAAAGGGAATTCAATCATGCTAAGGAGTTGTGCCCAAAGTACACCTAAGGTCTGGACATCAACAGCTGTACCACGACAGAGCTGTATTAGCTCAGCTCCACAAAAGAGGCTGAAAGAAAAAGTGACAAGCGTTTGCCAAATGGTGATGGGAGACAGAGCAGCAGTAGGGCTGCTCTTTTCCTGCTAGTGGGAAATCGTGGCTCTGCACGTGCCAAGCAGCACTCTGCCACGGCAGCCGGTGTGAGTATCTGGAGAAAGCAGCAAGCACCCAAACGGAAGAGACTTTGCTACTGCTGCTGTAGTTTCATGACCTGACCTTTCTCATCTGGATTTAAACTGACAGTACTGGGTTCCTACAACAGAGATAACGTTGGATTGAAAATAAGCACCATGACTTAAATGCTGCCTGGAAAGGAAAAGCCTGGAGGAAATAAAAACAGAACGGAATGAACTTAAGATTCTGCTTTTAGCATGTATGTTATTAAAACATTTCAGATGTCAGAGCCCAAAAAGAGTTTAACACACCTGTGTTTCTCTACTTTATCCAAAGGTCAAGGACAATTGGATCCTCTTCCTACTAAAGCTGCTGGCTATCAAAGCAACCACAGTTGGTTTGAGAGCATGGTAAGAGCCCTCGATAATATTTGCTCATTTGCATAGATCTGCCTATTCTTCACGCCTGAAGAGCTGTGGGAAAACAATCGTTATTCCCAGTGTTTCCTCTCTCATTTACTCAAATAATCCACAGTCTGAAAAGTTTCAGCTGTGATTCTGCATGACTGCATCTGATCCTTCATTCACACACCCTTCTATCTAGGAACGGCTCAACGGGCAGTCTTACGTACCTCTCTTGGGCCGGTCCAGAAAGGTTTTTCTGTCTTTATAAAAATACACCATGCAGCTGTGTTCATTTTAGTACATATCCTCCAAATTGAAAAAATGCAACGACTAGGAAGCCCCTTGCTCTTCAGGTGTGAGCATACAGCCTAATGTTGAAGCACTCCAGTGCTGAGCACAATATACTTGCTGAAAACCCATCACTGCCGACTCTTTAACCCTGCCACAGAAAGATGCATTTTCCCAGAAGAACGAACTTTTCAGAAAAAGTCTTTATAATGTTCTTCCTCCTAATTTTGTCAGGCACATTCCACTGTAACTAATGAAGTTTGCATTTCCTCTGTCTCAGCAAGTACTGGATTTTCAATATTGAGCGGTTCCCTGCATATTGTTTAATTTCTCACCTGCCAAATATTTAAACATTTTGGCCACACTGAGGTCTAGGGAACTATTAAAGAGTTCAACAGAGCAACAAGTTTGCCTGATACTTTATGACAGAAAAGGACACAAGTGTTTTAAAACTAAATAGGCCTCTTGGCTGTGCAGAAGAAACAGAAAATCCACAGTATAGCTCACTGAGTATTCATCAAGTGATCTCGCAATTTATCAGATGCTTTTCATCACAACATTCTTTGAAAAAGTTCCCTTAACCGTCAGCTAGGAAAAACACATGGAGACCTCTCTGCAACATACCCACAAAGGCTTTTTTTAAAGATAAAAGCTTAGACAGACTTCCAAAACAAACCACTCAAAACCCCCATCTTATACCTATTTTATCAGATGACCAGAAGGAAACATTTTGTGTACTGTTATTTTTCTTTGCTATTTACAAGAACTTCTGGGAAGTTGCACACTACAGCCTGGAATACAAGCTAACACTGCTTGTTGATGCAGGGTCTGTTGCACTTTCTGCTCTACTGGACAAGGTGGGTGCCTAATAGAGAGATTCAAGAGCTCTCTCAACACTGAAATGGGTCAAACTTGGAATTCTGCTAATGTCATGAAATGGATCAGCTTGCAGTCAGGTCAGTCAGGCTTAATGCATACAGAGTTGTATCTAACAATGAAATTCATCAATATCACAGTTTCACCACATACCTATAGTAAATTCATTTCTTTCCAAAACGAAGACAGATCTATCCCCTCAAAAACAAGCTTTCAGTCTCACAAAAAAAAACCACCCAACCCATATGGCTTGATATGCAGCTGTCAAGACTAACAGTATGATACATACTTTGGCATAATAAAAAATATATTTACATTACAGCCAACACATTTATATGCTTAGTGTATACAAAATATTTATAAATGCAAATTTATTTACAACTAGAGTCCATTATTCATAGGAGAAAACAAGCCCCAAAGTTAGACTGGTAACAGACGCCTGCCAACAGTCTAAGGAACAAAAAGCTGGCCAAGAGTTTTATGCTTACAATTACTGGGGAATTCCATGAGGAGGCCCTGAACATTTGTTTTCAAGCAGACAATGCAGTGTGAAATAGCTATGCATTCTTGAGAGATTTTCAAAGCATGCACCAACACAAAGGCTGCTTCCAACATCAGAAAATCCATGTCTTAATGCTATCCTTGTGGACATCACTAACCATCCATGTGTTCTGTTGCACATTCCCATTTTCCAATACACAGAAATCCAAGGAAAAAGGGCTTGTGCCACCTCCTCCTAGGGAGTCTGACTCCGCTTAGTCAGCCTGTAATTGTAGACACACATACACAAGCATCTTTGGCCTTGGGGTTAGTCCTGAGGTAGTAAATACAAAAAGTCAGTTGATACGGATTTGCTTTCAAGGCTTCATTTTAGTGTCTTACGTGGTTTCACTATAGTCATGAATGTTCCGTGTCCTATTAAAATCAAACTTATGTTCACGTAACCTGTGGCAAGGTCTGGGTGAAGCAGCTTGTTCCCGGTCACTGTCAATAATGCCCTCGCTTCGAAGAGGTCGTGAGGTCTCACGGGCTGACTGCTGATGCAGAAAGTGCGAGTGAGAGTGTGCTAGGTCTTTGTTTACTCCCCACAAAGGAATCTGAAAGGGTTCTGAGGAAGAAAATTAAAGATGAACAGAAGTGAGTTCATGACAAACACACTCAAATTTTACACAGATTTGAGTTGTGCCACTCAGCAGTAACAGTCTTTCTAGGGTTATTTTCTCTATTTTTGAGAGCATATTTGACTGGATGCTCTCCCCTTTCAGCAATCTGTTACAGTAACCAGAAACAACACACACAGTTTCAGTGTGAATTTTTAAAAAGGCTGCCTGGAAGAAAGTCAACATAGAAACAATCAATTTAGGAAAAAAAGTATCTTCTGGAGTTCTTTGAAGCTCAGGCCAGCTCAAACTAATTGAATTTCCTATGCGAAGCTTTAACTCCTGGCTAATAGGCGTCCTTGAAGCACATGCAAGGGATCACATTCCACAAGCTTTAAGAGATGAACTGCAGATTAAGAAATACTATCTCTTTAACGTCACCCTCTTCAACTCTTGGGTACTGGATGCAAACTGAGGGCTAGTTCTGAGAACAGCTCGTTAATAAACAGATGAGTTACTCCACAAACTATGGTCACTGGAAGAATTAGCTGTATATCAATAGTGAAGAGCACAAGGAAGGCCAGAGTTATCAGGGAATAAAAAGCAACAAGAGGGAAAAAGGGGACAACTCACCATTAATCTGCTGGGAGGAGACTTTCTTTTCACTTATTTTGTCATGGTTGGTGAGGAAGACAGACATATCTCTGTCTGCTAAGAGATTATCAAGAGTACTGGTTTCATGCTGGGTGCGTGCTGTATACGTTTCCTTAGGCATCTGCACCATGAGATTAGGGAGAGTTTGATCCAGGGGGTCCTCTTCTGTGATGTAGGCATAAGGACAGTACTCTCGTGTCCTGGAGTAGATGTTTGCATTGTCATAGCAGTCCGAGCAGATCACCAATGGTGCTGCACCACCTGACAAATACGATGAAAAAACAAAACACTCTCAAAGAGGATATGGCTGCTTGATTTCCAGACTTTCATGTCTTAGCATGATCATGTATTGCAGCGGCACAGTTTGAAGGGCCTTTACACAGTTAACATGGCAACAGAGTACTCAGCTTGACTGTTTACTGAAGAAGTCACATGAGAAATGCTCTAGGTTCACAACCATCCAAATTCTCAACAGCACTGAGGCTGAACGGGGAAAACCATGGACATGACCAAGAGAGATCTCATGTTGGCTCTCCTGTTTCAAAGGCAAAAGAGTTCCATGCAGGTCTAACCAGCTTGGGCACCAGGCTGAAACAGCTCTGGAATCAAACCGGGACACCTATCCACATCGGCTTTGCTCTTGTACCAGACTTGTACCCTGCACGCCCACACACCTCAGACCAGACGATAAAGCGGTCATTGAGATGAGCTGCTTCTCAGCTTCCTGATACAAACTCTAGTGTAGCAGGACTACAGACTAGAGGGAATGGATCACGGGACAGATGTGAAAAAAACCTTACACTGAAGGATCACTTTTGAAAGCCAGCCTATACAAGGATTGCATGGCTCCTCAGCACTTGGATGGTAGAAATAGCATCTCTATAGACTCAATGACAAATATCCTGAAAAGCATCCAAACAAGGCGGGGAAATAGCGTAGACCCTTTAGTTACAATTGGAGCAAGCGGACTGTATGTCTGGCAGAGGCAGTAATTTTATGCCAAGGACAAAAGGTACAGCAAGTCATCATCCAAGTGAACGTTATTTCCACCTCCGTTGCCTGGACTCTTGAGATGCCAAAGGAAAGAAACAGCATAAAAATCTACCTTGACATTTAACCTAGGAATTCTCTAACGGCATCCCCACCTTGCTGAACAGATCGCAAACCCTGAAGCAAAGAGCCTCTGGAGGGAACCATACTACTGTGGCACCTGAAGGACAGCAGTCATGACACCTACATGCAAAGGCACTCATAGCAGATGTGAGCCCAGGCGTTGCTGGACCAAAGATTAAACAACACACATGGACTGAAGAAGCCTTGATAGCAGAATATAAACAAACACTAGAAGAAAAACAGGAGATGCCTCAAACGAAGAACGATCAATGGAAATTTTTGGATCAAGCTGAATTCTTCTCTGGGAAAAGTCACCTTTGGCGCTAATACGCAGTACTACCCTGCACTGTGCAATACTGCTGCCAGCTACGAGGACCAGACTGCATTGGCACCTGCTGAAACACACGTAATACACGCGAGGGCTTTGCTTACCATCTGTGCCTTTATGCACGTAGCTACCGGCTGGAGGCATGAGCTGCTGATGGCTTCCTGCCTCTGAGTTACTGTAGCCCTCCTGAGGCTCTGACAGAGTTCCTTGGGAAGACAGATAGCTGGGAATGTCTGCAGGTAGGTTCATCTCCTCTGCAAGGCAGAATTAACGTTGATGATGTTAACAGCTAAGTGTGAAGATTTCAAGGTAGTACCAACACTATTACCCACGTCATCCAGAATTTCAACTCACATATAGTTTTCTTTTTTCTACCTCAGTGATTAAAAATCCATGTAGCTAATTCAAAGCTAACAGGGCCGGAATGGAAATTTACACACATTATTCCAGGTCCTGAAAACATTTGTAAGTTTATTCAAATATTTATTTCCAAACTTTACTGTTTTCTCTCAATGAAAAACAAATCTAGTGTATAAGGAATAAAATTAACACACTTTTGATATTTAAAAAACCCCACTCTAAAATGAAAGAATTTGAGCGGATCCCTGAAGAGATTTTAGAAGGAAATCTTCAGTTCTTCAATGTTATCATCCATAATGAAACCAGAAATTTCACCATTCTTAACAAGTGTTTTGGATTAAAAACAGGGCTGAAGACTTGCTTTTGCACTTTACCTGTGTTAGTGATGCTGTAATCTTCACTCTTCCTTCTCATGTGGTAAATCACAATAACCCATACCAGGGAAGTTCCCACAACACAGCACACCACGACAATAATCACAATGCCCACTGTTGTCCAGCCATCCTCCTCATGGACAAGGCCGCTCTGGGAAGAATCACAATTTGGGGAAGCCAGGACATTTAGGTAAATATGGCCACGCTCAGTGCCCAGCGTGTTGGACATAATGCACGTGTACTTTCCAGCATCCTCTAGTCCAGCATCCACAATGATAAGGAGTTGATTTGCTGCAGCAAAAAAATGCCGCTCTGTGACTGTCAAAGGGCCATCGTCTTTAGTCCAGTTGAGGCGAGGGGCAGGGCTGCCACCAGCTATGCATTGCAAGACAGCGGTTTCACCTCGGGTTACCGTTCTGTCTTCCAGGGGCCTAATGAAGGAAGGAGTTTCTGTGATAGCGGAGGGAAAAAAAAAATTGTAAGTTAACTTCATTGTGCAACACCAGTGTGTACTCCATGATATTTAAACATCTGATCTTACAACCTGAACCTAAACTTGAGCAATGAAACACAGGATTCAGGAAATCCTGCGAGTTCAGCTCTTCTGTGAATCACTGCAGCAAACACAGGTACAAACACCCCCAAAATTATGCTAGCCACAGTCTGTTTTATGTATTCCAATTCTGAATTTGCATGTGACCATAATGTTAAAAGCCAGTGTCTTCAAAAAATACTGCACTCTAGAAGGAACTGTCCTTCCATTATTACTCAGCATAGTTCACGTTACCTGCCACTAAATTTGTTCTGCGACAACACAAATTATCTATCTAGCCTACACTGCTGGATCGAGATATGCCCCTCAGTTCTCTCCTGCAAAGATCCTACTAACTTCAGGGGTCAGCACTGCAGCTTAGCTTCTAAAGCTTCACTGTTGAAAAATCATGTCAAGTGCTGCATTCAAATGCCCCAAAACCATACAAAGCAGAGATGCTGCTTCAGAGGCAGCATCCTTAAATTTAAAGTTTGGTTTTTTTTTTTTTTTTTGTGGGGGGGGGGAGGGGGGCAGGGTGGGGAGCAACCATGGGGAGAAAAAAGTCTTCTCTTGTTCCTTATTGCAGAATTCTATCTACAGCTAGAGGAAGAGGAAACTGCGCTCTTCGTATTTTAACTTCACTCTTTAGGACTTAAGCTTGCTACTTCCAGATAAGCTACACTACCCCTGCAGAAGTGAAGCAATCCATACGCAAGCACAGATTAGCACGCCACTCACCTAACACAGTCAGCGTGGCATTTGCTGACAAACCGCCCGCAATGTTTTGTGCCATACAGCTATAGATTCCCATGTCTTCTATTTTCACATTTGCAATAAAGAACACATCATCCTCAGGCATGACGTGCATCCTCCTCTCTCTTGCAGCAGGGAAGTCTGTGCCACCATCTTTCTGCCAGGAGATCTGTGGAGTAGGGTGGCCCTCTGCAGCACACTCCAGCCGGGCCATCGCCCCAGTGCGGATAGTAAGATCCATGGGGGTTTTCAGGAAAGAAGGTAGCTCTGGATCAAAGGAGACAGTTTCAGTATTTTCAGTACCAGGGAAAAAGCAGCAAAAGCTCCCCAGCACAGAGAGTATCTGAAAACAAACAAATCTGAAACACACCTGTAGTTCTCCGTAAGAGAGAGCATTCTTCTGAAGAACTGCACAAATTTTCAGTGGTCATTTCTAAGAGCCTATCCTCCAAATTTAAATAAAGTATCTACAGTGTTCATTTAAGATGATCTGAAGAACAACATTTCTCATGGGGAAAAGACAGGGAAAAGGTTTAGCCTTCTTCCTAAGCCCTTTGTCACACTTTTTCTTCCCTGGTAATAGGGAAGGTGGACTTCCATTTCATGAGTCCAAGTCTGCATTATCTGTCCCGGACAAGCAAAAGCAACACAGGCACCTCTGCTCTCGGGTACAATGGGGATCAGTGGTCTACTGACTGATGTGCACATTGTCTTCTCCCTTCCCTCAAGCCAAAATAAATAGAATCATTATGGCTAAAACCAAAGGACTTCATAATCAATTCTTTTCAGAGTTTGTTCCCAGTCCCACAAGTTATTTTTAGTTGAATCTTCCCTAGCTTTACAAACACATGGGAAAGGTGCTTAGTTCTGAAGAGACAGCAGAGGGAGCTTTTCGTTTAAGAGACTTCTACCTCTATTTAACTAGATGAACAACTAATTGAGTTATAATGAAAGCATGGGAGATATCTGCCCCTTTTGAAAAGCGAACAGAAGGCTTTTCACTCACAAAAAAAAAAACCAAACCCAACTTCTTTCCTGCTTTATAAAACGATGTTTGATACTTCTAAATACCAGTGAGACAGTCTTGCAAGACTATTTTGGGCCAGCTCTAGTGAAAAATAGACTTACAGCTATTTAAATAAAGCTTTAGGTTAAAAGCATTTCTCCTTTTTTACCATGATTGCTTACCATTGACAGTCAGCTTGGCTTTGTTGGAATAATTGGAGCCAAAGTGATTGGTGACGATGCACTGATACTTTCCTTCATCAGTGAAATTCACATTGAAAAGGTGCAGGACAGTGGTATACTCGACCACCTCACCACTTTGCTGCTGATATCTGGCAAAATTCTCAACCTCTGCATCATACAATACTTCACTGTCTTTACGCCAGGCAGTGGACATGGGTGAATCACTGCTGCTCACAGCAGTACACGTCAGAGTCACATTCATGCCTCGCAGAGCAATTGTGGTCTCAGGATGAACTCTTATCTGCGGCTTAGGGAAATTATCTGAAAATAAAAGCACCAAGATTAGTTACTTTCCTCTTCAGCTTCCAATTAATATTGCAAGAAAACTCACTGAAAAGACAATGCAAGCAGAAAGCAAGCTTTAGGAACAGATGTCCTGCTTGATGTGCACATATTCAGCTGTTTTCAGTTGGAAATCAAGCTGCGAAATAGGATTAGAACCACACATAGGCATACAGAATAAGCACTGAGAACAGTCAGCGTAGAAGCGTGGTCTTGAGCAGCACACTGCATTTTATACAACTCTCTGGAACTTGCTATATTTAGATCACACACAAAAGCCGTGCTCGGCTGAAGAGCTAGGCTATTTTACGAAGGACTGAGACTTATTTTCAGATAATTTAAATATCTTGAAGAGCCTTTACGTTCTACAAATACAAAGCATAGCAAGCTGGCAGTTCACTATCTCATACCACTCGAGGAGAGTTATTTCAGTACCTATTATTTCAGCAAAGACATTCTCGTAGGCACACACAGCGTTCGGTCTCAGGCACCACGGTGGTGGTATTAGAATGGAGAAGTGGGTGCTTGTGCTTACATGATAATTATTGTAGCCTTTACCACCAAAAGAATGAAAGAATTGTGTACACACAAGTAATGCTTATCAGATTGCTCACCCAGAAAACGGAACATCGGACTATTTCCAGGCCTGCCACAGACTTCACACATGACTCTGGGCAAAGTCTCTCAGTTTTCCATCTCACAGTTTGGTTACAAAAATATGTCTGAATACGGCTTATGTCTGAAACTGTGGTGGCAGAGACCAGATGAACATTACAGATATGGAGCACCAGAAAACGTGCCAGAGTATTAACTACTCTAGCCTTGCTGGTATGGACAAGAACCAAGAAGGAAGCGTCAAACAGCCCTTCCAAAGCTAGAGGCATTCATAAGCAGGGAGAATAGAAGCACAATCACTTTTTAACAGTAACCTAAATGAAAAACAATGCAGTCTCACAGAATTACTCCCTCGGTGCTCAAATAGAACAAAACAGAGCAAAGAGAGACAGAATTAAATCCCAAACTCCAAAGCAGACCCGGTGATGTACACAGGCCCACGCGTGCATCATGGCCAAGACCAAGCACCTCCAGCAGCGCTTCAGCCTGATGTCGGGAAGGTACCTGCACAGGTTTGTGTTACCATCTTTGTATATCAAAAGTCATCAAAAATACGAACCACAGACAAAGTCATCAGGGTCCACACTGAGAAGGCTTTGTCCTGCTAACCACTCGGGATGAGCACAGCTAACGTTTACAGCCTGCTGTAAGTGGCTGCCAGTGAGCCACTGCGGCAGGGAGTTCCAAAAGCAAGCTGCTAGTGTTCAAAATTCTGCAGAAACAAGGCAAAATAAAAGTGTGATTAAAGTTTAGTATTTCACATTCCCACATGTGATTCTATGTCATTTCATGCAGCAAAACAACTTAAAGCATATATGTTCAGAAATTCCAAGATTTACAGTATTCTTTTAAGCCTATGGGTATTTATTATAAAATGTCAGCTATATATGCTATAAACAATCCAGAAAGACCTTCTTTCTAAGTCAGCATTAAAACCTTACATTTCTTTCTAATTCTGAAGAAAATAACCTTGGATTTTCAATTTCTAAAAAAAAAAATTAAGCCTGTCTTTACAGTTATCCCATCCCTCTTTAAGGCAATTAAAAGGAACATAACACTGCAGAGCCGCGCTAGGTCTCAAACTGAACACACTTGCCATTATGAAATGCGTGTAAGCCTCAATATTCATTTTCATGCCAGCTAATAAATATTTAAGAATGACAGCGATTTGTTTCATACAGGTATCTACTGCAGATTGTTTTCTCTGCTCCACAGAAAAACTGTGAGCAGGAAACAGTGATGGGTCGCTTTTTCCACCACCTCCTGCTTTCAAAGTTTCCCGAATATTATCTACGAGTATGACTGGCGAAAGCCCAGCATTTTAACAGCAAGTGATCTGCCACTCGATGAATCCAGTAGTGAGAAGGAAAGGCACACATACAAGCCAGGATTCCATCCTGCTGTTTCCCCATACATACCAATGATGCCTCACTTTTAAGATACATTAGAGAAGGCAATGAAAGTCCTATCTTTAATACCTAAAATGCATCTCCTCAAACCGGTAGATTTTGCAAACTAACAGTCCATCTGGCCAAGATTAACTAATTCAGTAACAGTTTTAAAACAGATTACACAATATTCAGAGACTTTCTCATAGAGATGACCGCGTTACAGTAGGATTAGTCCTAGGTGTGAAGGTCACTTCGCATTAGAATACTTTAAATGTCTGAAGATCACAAGAGGCTCTAGCAGCTTAAGCATCTGCTGAGCAAGTAAAAATTCTTGTCTAGCTGTGAATTTAAAGCCTTTCCCTAGCCCCAAAAATGAAGACAAAATGCAGCATTTGCTACCCCCCCTGAAAGATTCCTGATGACCAATTTCTTTTATTCACTGTCTACATGCTAGTGTGTACTGAGTTTGCTGCAAAATCATAACATATGGAAAAACTTAATGGTTCAGCACTGCAAGAAAAGAACTATTTTCTACTAATTGCAACTAAGGAAATGAAGGTGCAGATTTTATGAAACCTTAAATCTAAGTATACTGCTACTGACTTTGAGTCGATAATATATCAGCATTACTTTAAATATTTCATGATGAAAGCGGACACAGTTCAGTCAACTTCAGCCAATCTTACAATGGCTGAGGGATTCTTTACAAGGTAGGACTTATAAAGAATCTGTAAATAATTGTCATGAACTTACAGCTCCTTCAGGTGAGCCTGGGCAAATGCATTTTCTTGGATGGACATTACTGCATTGTTGCTTAAATCTCTGTAAGTTAAGCAAAGAGAATAATAAGGGGTAAGTATGATTTCATATGCTACCTTCAGTTACATTCTTGAAAATTTGACAGAAAATACAGGATTGAAGTTGACAAATAATTATAAGTTCTACAAAGTAAAGTACTTACAGATGTTCAAGTCCTTCAAGACCAGAGAATGCTTTTTTGGTAATTGTCTTAATCTGGTTTCCTTGCAAGATTCTGAAAGACAAAGCCCCCCAAACCCAGAAACCAGTCTGAATGTCAATATGAGTTCACAAATATGACCCAGAAGAAATTCCCTATGATGTTTAACTAAATTGTTTCTAATTCTAGTGAACTAAAAGATCAAATACTACTTTTTGAGCTTAAAGGCTCAACTAATTTTCCCAAGAACAAGGTTTCTTTTCCATTCTTAACTTAGAGATTCAGGTTAGAGATGTGTCAGAAGATAATTTAAGTCAGCAGAATGAAACTGTGATAAGTAGAACTTGAGAGTGGAGCAGTAACTTCCTAATACCAATCTGCCACAATCACATTAGTTCCTGAGACTGCACCCTCATACCAAGCTATTTGTTATAAGCAATGTCTGTAGCTCCACAGGATAGAGCTTCCTACAGAGCACACGGCACTGGATGAAAAGTGCATAATCTAAGTACTGAAAAGCTGTTGACTCAAGTGTTTCATATTTGCTTTTTTTTTTTTAAAAAAAAAAAAAGCACTAACTTTTACCCAAACTAAAGAAGCACAAAAAGTGACAATCGCCACAAAGCAGGACTGGGCTATTCAATAATAAATGCGGTCAAATATTTATGCTTAATTTCTTCAAATTGGTGCTGCAAGGTGATCCAATGCTACACAGATCCGACGCTCCTGACCATGGAAGCCAAGCCTGTATCAAGAGGTTGTAGCACAGAGGTGGAAACACACTGAATACAGCCGCCAACTAGAAAGGCCTTCTGCCTCCTGTAAATTGATTTACAATTACTTAATATTTTGCACTCTCCCTCTACTCTGCGTGCCTAGGAAGTACTGTCATTTCAATGGTTTGTAATACATACAGTTTATCCAGCCTGCTGAGTCCCACAAATGCTTCATTTGCATCTTCTATGGCCCAGGAGATCTCATTGTTCCGCAAGTCCCTGCAGGAGAAGAGCCTTCCTATAAAGAAGCCTTGTGACATCATCACGACCACCGCTAGCGGTGAGCTAGGGAAGAGAACTTACTGTTGCACAGCCTGCTATGGTGTCCTGGCACAGTGTCACCTGGAAGGTCTCAAATCTTTTATAAAACTAAGCTTGTCAGAAGATGAATATTCCATTTCAGAGATGCAAGAGAAAATAGAATTGTTCGAGATCAGTGCCGCAGACAGAACCACAAACAAATTCTGCAGTACACCTTCTTGATGTGGTATTTAAGGAAAGACCCAGTCTGACTAGCACTCGTCATGTGATGGACTATTTACCAGAAGCTGGGAGAGGTTCCTGAAGCAAGTTGGTTCATGTAAGTGAATTAACCAATACACTAGCAGCATTAATCTTCCTGAGTAACAGGCTTATAATAGCATTTGCATATTAAGAGATTACACACAGGTTATAGCGTAAGGTTGCCAGGCACAAAGTAGAAGATTTACAGAACGAAGTCGATATTCTGCTCACAAATCTCGTTACCAGCTAATGGGATTTCTGTTTGACCTCTGCACAACATTTTGGCTCCTCATGTAGAAGAGCAGTCTAAACAGCAAAAGCAATATAGCAAGATGGTTCAGAGAGGATTAGATGCTTTTTAGAGAGAAGGAGAAACAAATTCAGTTGCATTTCTAGCCTGAATAGCGTGGACTGAGCCAAGAGTTTCCGTCAAAGCCACAATTTTCATCTGTTTTGGTACAACTGTGCGCAGAAGTCTCTGCAGACAGGAGTGTGTTTAAAGGAAGATACACCAATAAAAAATAGTCTGTGCTGCATTTTACCAGATACTATATGCATCAGCTTGATGGAGCTTCCAAACAAGTCAACTGACACAGAAAGCAAACTACATAGACAGGCAATTGCATACATCATCTCATACAAACGCTTCTTTCCTTGTGCTAAGGATGGAAAAATGAAGTATCTACTTTCCCTTGGGCGAGACTGTAAATTGCGTAGAACACCATCCTGGAAGAGCACTGGATCAACCTCCAGGACATTGTCAGCGGTAACATTATTTTCTTATTTTTCTTACTTTGAAATACAGAAGTCTTGTTCTTTACGCCATGCAGCAGTCATTTCCACAATTAATACATATATACTTTAAAGTTTAGGACAAAAAGAAAAGAACTCTATGATTCATGCATCACAAGGTCTTAACAAATATGGCCTTGATACTTGCCACTTTAAGTATTTTCCCCTTTGAAAATTATTCAAGCTAAGGTACTGGACATGGATGTGATCTAATGAGAAGAATGACTAGATGAATAATACACCAAATTTATTTCCAGGTTGCTAATTCTTGTGATATGAAACTTGTTTCTAGAATTACCTCCAGGTACGCTTCAGAATTTTAGACTGTGAATGCTAGAGGGGTATCAATGCCAAGCTACTTAATGTATTATGAAGTAAATAATGCAGTAAGATGTAAAACTTCAGTGCTATTCTTAGATACACCTTTAATCCTACCTCGCTTTTATTACCTTGTAGTTAATAGACAGCTTTTACCGTTTATTCTCATTAAAGCTACATTGCAGAATAGTGGCAGGAGCTGAACTTGGAGAAATATTTACATCAGCCTTAACATTGAAATAACCAGCATACAAGCAACAATGGAACTAATCCGACAGCAACATGGCATCTCTTGTTGTTTGAAGTATTTTTACACTCCACTACTCAGACCACTTAGCAAAATGAGTGAGCGACCCAAAAGAAAAGCCCCTCATTGCGCGAGCTGAGGAATTGGCTCCTCATGCTTGGCTGGGCACGAATGCTTGGAGCCTTGCTAATCACCACGGCCTCGTCCTGCACATTCCAACCCTGAAGCAAATGGCCAGCCTCTCAGCTGCTGACGCCCCTGAGGAGCCCAGGAAAACCTACTAATTAATCTGCTCTTGTTCTTTTTCATGCTACTCTAAATCTAAGAAATTAGTTTTAATTATTTAATTAAAAGGTTGCATTAAGGTTAACAGAATATGACTGCTTACATAAATCTCTCTGGTGAGTTTGCTTATTTAAGCATTTATTTAATGAACTGACAGAGGGGTTATAAACTTTCACTCCTTTCCCAACTACCATTGTTTAGTATGATTACAACTGTTCAGATCTACTTGGGACACTTTTTTTTTTATTAAGACCCAAGATTGAGTCTTTTCTTGTCAGAAATATCAAACAGCTGCACTGCTACGAAAGGTGCTGGCAAGAGCAGAGCTGTGCCCCTGACAGCAAGAAGTAATCCTACAGCTCTCCCACTCGCCATGCCTACGACTTCGGCACACAAGCAGGCCGGGCTAGACCATGCCTTCTGCAACCGAAAGGATTGACTGCGGGGTTTCTGAGGTTCCAACTCTAACAAAACCATCAGGAATGAAGAGAGGTCCAGGCTGACCATTCGCTCCACAACTGGCATTTATGCCAGCCGACTATCCACACCTTCTCAGCACTGGTTTGACATGCAACTGGGCACTCAAGGTCACCAAGCCACTGTTTCTTATCGCCACTAGAATTAAGTGGTTGGTTTGTTTCGGCAGGGCCAGAATTCTGTTATTGTGGCAGACCAAAAGATTATCAGCCCCACCACACCCGCAAGCAGGACAGCACACAACAATGCCAAACCACTGATCCTGGGTTTGCATAGTGCAATATTCATTATCTTTACTTCCAAGAGCTTCACTGCATTAAACAGAGATTTTAACTAGAAGTTTTCTGTACTTACAAGGTTCGAAGATTTGTCAGACCTCTAAACACGCCATCAGCAATGTGACTAATGTGATTGTCACCCAGGTTTAGTTTCTCCAGTAAACCAAGTCCCACAAACGCAGACTCCTTGAGGCGAGTTAGATGGTTGTACGACAAGTCTCTAGAAACATTGAACATGCACTTTAAAGGCAAGTAGAGGGGGGATTAATTATGAAGATACTATCAAACTTGATTAACTATTGAGTTTTGATTAATTTCTCTAACAGAACACTTATAAAAATAAGTAAAATACACAGCATTACCATGGGCCTAACAAGAAAATTGAGTACTTCCAAAGTACTCAACTACCAAAGGAAGCAATTCATTCTTGCTACATACGTGCCATCCAATCTGTTATTGCAACATTACAAAATCCCCAATGAAAAGCAGCCCAGGACTTACAGCTCAGAAAGTCTTTGGCAGAACTCCCATGCATCTGGACTGATCCTGTTAATGGCGTTCTGGCTAACGTAGAGTTGTTGCAATGTCCGCAGACCATACAGCCAGCCTTTGTTTACTTCTGTTAAGTTATTATGTTCCAGTTCTCTAAGGAATTAGAAGGAAAAACATTTGCCAAATAGATAATCAATGAAACATGTATTTACAAAATTTCACCTTGTGGATCTCAAAATTATTTACTAACATTAAGCCTTAGGCAACCTGAAATGCACGATTATATTCCGTCCACTGAAACCAAAAGAGCAAACAAAAGTGTAAGAACTGAGTAACTCAACAAGAGCTGCAGTATCCAGTGGCAGGAGCAGAACTGTAATCTCTGTTCTCAAAGATTATTTCTTTTTTAAAAACCTTTTGCTAACACTGCATGGCACACCCCTGCACTATCTCTGTCAAACAGTCACACAACAAAGAACCATCCCATGTTATGGGGAGTGCAAATGAAAACCAGCAAAAAGCAACCTACGGAGTCAAAGCATTCTTGATCGCCCAGTGGGAAGAAGTTGGGGAGAGAGCCAATATCTTTCCACCTCTGAAGTAACCAGACACGGTATCAAAATAATGGGAAAATACAAATCTGTAAACTCATTTCCTGTGCTGCTCATCAATATCTCAGCACAGCCTTGATGTAAGGGAAGCCATACAGGACACAACCCTCCACAGCTAGAGTCCCTAAAAGAAATTCCATGACCAGGCATACTCACAATTCTTCTATATTACCCAGGCCAAAGAATGCTCCATCCATTAGTCTGCTAATCCCATTGCGCTGCATTTTCAAGGATTTTAAGGATTCTAGCCCTTGGAATGTGAGACTTTCCACTATTTTAATCCGGTTCCTTTTCAGTTCCCTTAAAGATAACATTCAAATATTAAGATGTCTTTTGATAAGCACCACTTTGCGAAAGTCAAGAACACATACTGAGATGAACAACACAGCTGTAAACGCTACGTTTTTAAGCTTTCAAGACTGCTACTTACAGAAACTGCACGTGAGGCAACTTGAAGATCTTCGGTGGAATCACACTAATCCTATTTCTGTTCAGCTTTACCACCATTAGTGAGCTAGATAAGTTATCAAGACAGCCCACTTCTAGAGTAGTTATTCTGTTGTTACTCAGATTCCTAGGGAAGGAAGAGGAAATGAAGCCTTTCGGAGCACAGAGAGTTTTATGAACACAACTGCACCAGCACTTCAGAGCGATCACTTTTTATTAAAACTTGTTCTTTGTGAAGTCACATCAGAAATCTGAATTCTGGTATAGCAAACTAAATAATTTTTCCCAAAGGAATCAGTGCTAGGAGCTGATTTTTACTGCATGCCCATGCTTCAGTTAGACATGGCCAAAACAATTTACTCAAAAGGGTCAGAAATCATTCCATGTCCCTTGCTGGCTGAAGTACCTGCACTTTGACAACAGCAGTTATTGTTTTCCATAGTATTTGAGAAAATGCAATACAGATTGGTATGAAAAGTATTTTATTTCAAACACACTTGTAGCTACATTGAGCACTGTTACCAGTTCAAAGCCACGCAAGGCTGCCTACTTTAAGGCAGTAACTTAGAGTAGATGAGGCCTTCAACATTATTGTTGTAGAGCCAGGAATCCCAGACATAACAGATCACTCATACTTACAGGTACTTCAGTTGCATCCGTGGAAAAGAAGAAGCTTTAATTTCCGAGATAAGGTTAGAACTAAGATCTAGATTTTCCAATGAAAGGTAAACTTGGAGTTGCTCAGCATTTATTTCTGGAATGGTATTGTGTACCCTGAAAAATACCAGCAACAAATATGATTATCAAAACATGCCATCCTTCAAGGTGCACAGCTGAAACAGCTGTAAGATTCTGTATATCAATGTTCTTAGCAAGCGTCTTAAATGGGGCATGTAGCACACTTCAGAGTGTTAATTCCTAAAGCAATACTGAAAATCCAAGAGCTATTTGCCACCTTGGCATATGAATAGATTCAAATTCTGGGGCCTGTAGTTGGGCTGTTCCTTGTGGGAACTGCCATTCCTAGACTGAATCCCTCCACTTCAAAGCTGCCTGCCTTGGTTGACTGCATTTTATTGGTAATTTAGGGTGACTTGATTGTCTGATTTGTATTTCTTTAAAGAGGGCTTACATATTCCCTAAAGCACTTTAGATGAGTAGTATTTCAAGACAAAAGCAGCTATGTTTTCCTACAACTTGATAGCAGAACTCTAACACAATTCTCCCATTTGTTAAACGAGAAAAAGGCAGACAAGCTATTACTTACAATGAGAGAAGAGTTATATTAGAAGTCATTTCTCCGAAATACGGAATTTCACTTAGCTCATTGTAATTCATTTTCCTTAGAAAAAAACAAAAAAAGATTACTGGCACTTCAAAGAAAAGAAAAACCCTTCTGTACACAGCATAAATAACTTGTATCACAGAACACATTTAACAAAAAGATTCCCTAAAAGCTTAAATACTGATAATTTGAACAATTTAATAGCGAAGCACACTAGGTTTTACCATTCGCATGGATATTATTGCCTCTCTTTAACTTAGAATCAGCTATAGTCAAAACAAATGTCTCATTTCTTTTTAAAAATATTGGTCTTCTAACCTTTTATGAAAAAGTTTTCTGCTCACAAAATATCAGTTTTATATATAAAATGTGCTGCCAATACAGAGCATCCATTTTTAATTAAACGGCACTGAATATTTCTACAAGTCAGACCAGATATCTAGACATGCAGTGAAATGTACCAATTAGAATTAGGTACAAAATCTTCAGAGTTTATCCTCATAAAAAAACAACTTACACTTCTTGTAGTGTATGAACAGACAAATCAATGCTCCAGTTGGACGACAATAAATGATTATGACTTAAATCCCTAGAGAACAAAGAGAAAAGTTATTCTGGCTCCTGGAATTAAAAAAACAGGCACGTTTTATGCAATCTAAAAGTTTTAAACCATATTTTTGATACATACAATTCCTCCTTTGCCAAAGGAAAAAGATGTTCTAGCTTGTTCTAGTGGTCATTCACAATAAAAGTCTAGACAGTTCTATTTCTCTGTTTGAATCAAATAACTTTGTTAAAAAGGCTTCTTGAAAGAAAGATCATGTGTGATCAGAGCATTTTTCCTTTAAATCATAGCTTTATCTACAATGCTTGCCTATCACAAAAAAGGAAAACTTCTTCCAGGGACACGAAAATCTTTCTTACAAAATCCTCGTTGTTGAACTGTTTTCTGTAGCAAGGATCCCCATTCTCTCAGCCTGCCCAGCTTTTCAAAGCAGCTGACTAGTCAAGGCAGGCTTATTTTAGAGGAACAACATACACACAATTACCAAACAAGCTGGAGGGGAGAGAAACACCAGGCTGGGAAGCTTATAGAAGGCATGCTTTAGTGCCAGTTGGTTTTGCTTATAGAAAACAAATGCGGGAGTTGGATTGTTTCAACAGGCAAGAGAGTTGTTAAATCTGTTTTTAATGCCTACACTGGATGTTGATGCTCTTCCCATTGATTTAACTTTAAAGCAGGACTTTGCTTTTGCCTTGGACTTGGTGCATAAGACATTATAAGTAAAAACACATCCACTTCTGAGAGCTAACTCTTTGGGCACCGACTACCTCCATTTTGTGACGAGTCAAACCACGACCCAAAAAAAAGGAGGTTTACGATGGAAACCTGCTTCTAGCCATACCAGCGAGGAGAGACAGACGTCACTCCACACAGCAAAACCAACCCGTCCTTTTGATGCCTTTCTGGCGTGAGTCCCGAAGGGAGACAAATCCCCAAAGCTTGTGCCGACAGCCCAAGCCATTCGTGTGTTGTAACAGGCCCGGCACCACCACAGGGTTTGCAAAGTACGACCGATACCCTCACCACAGGCAGAAAACTGTTGATATAACAGAACGCTGCCTATTAAATCAGGAATTCTGCCTCTGCTAGCTAGTTGTGCCCGCCTGTCAGCAAGGCATCACGCTTCTCACTCCATTTCCAGCTCTGACATCGAGCACGGAGCCATAACGAGCGATTTTCAGCAAGAGCTGTTCCCCTTCTGATGAGCTCCTGCGTCGCTGATTCTCTTTCACGGTACAGAAGTAACACTACGCATTTACTACAGCTAGTTTTAAGATCGTCAGGCAGGCTGCAGCTATGCCGACACAGGAGACACAATTATCCTTTACGAACGAAGCTACCATGTATCTGTTAAAAAGGTTAAAATGTAATTGAGCACAGTTAAGAAATATTTCCACTGAAGTCAGGGCACCATGTGCTCCTCTACCCTTGCCCTGGGCCTGCGGTCGACTTCAGCTGCGCCGAGGGTCGAACCCGTACGCGCGTGAAGCTGCCCAAAAACCACGACGAGGGGAAGACAAGAAATTGTACTGGTGCCCCTGCCGAGGGAGGGGTTGCAGTACAAACGTAGCCCTCGACGAGTACCAGCAAGCGTCCGTCCGCGGGTGTTAATGCTGTCAGGAGAGCCCTCCACGCAGGAATGACTTGCCGATAACCAGAAGACAACATGAACAGGATTTATTCACCCCAGTGCTCTCAGCACTACCAATACACTGTTAATCAGCCAGACCAGAATCTACCGGGAGAGAGCAAGGACTTGACAGACTGTCCTTAACTTCCACTCGGGCTCAGCAATAAAGATACCATTCTAGCAGTGAATTATTAAAATCCCGGGTGTCGTGGCAAGTCAGACGGTTGTTAACATAGCCTTCCAATTACATCAAGATGTAAATTATACAGATACAGCAGCAAACAGGTTTGCAAACAATTATTTATTCCTACAATTAAAAAAAAGACTCAAGGGAAGGCGGAGAAGAGAACAATGCACACGCAGCCACTGAACGCTACTCTGCAGGCCCGCTCCCCCAACAATTAAGCCCATCCTACATGCCGGTAACACAAAAACAAGCGAGTACG